GGATCCCTACTCTCGCGCTCTCTAGGGTTGTGTCTCAGATTTGGGCTGAGACAGAGGCCAGAGCCAGGAATTCACCCTGGCAGGAGGGCAGGAAACACCCCAAGGCCAGGGCCGCGCAGGAGAGAAGGGGAAGAACAGGGTGCCTGCAGGAGCAGTTACTACAGAGGGTGACAGGGAAGTCGCCACAGCTGGGACCCTTGGGAGCAGGAGATCGCACTTCCGGAGTGTGCTGCTCGAGGTGAGGAACCTGGAGGCTGTCACCAGCATCCACCAGGCACAGGGTGAGGGCTGCTCCCTGCTCAGTGACAATTGGCCCTCTGCTCTGTCCCCAACACCAGGAGGAGCCCTCAGGATGAATGTCTGTGTCTCGCCAGAATTCCCATGTTGGGGCCCTAACTTCCCCAGGGATAGTCTTAGAAAATGGGGCCTTTCCGTGGTTATTTCTTCATAGGGGGATTAGTGCCCTCGTAAGAAGAGACACAAAGCTGGACGTGGTGGCGCACACCTGTGATCCCAGCCGCTGGGAGGCTGAGGCAAGAGGACCTAAGTTTGAGCGACTTGGCAAGCCCCTACCTGAAAATTAAAAATGAAAAGGAGCTGTGGGTGTAGCTCAGTGTGAAGGTACTGGGTTCAGTCCCCAATACCAGAGAGGGCGAGAGAGGGAGAAGCTTGCTCACTTTCTCCCCGCCAGGAGGCTCAAGGCAAGCAGCCACCGGTGGTGAGGAAGAGCGCCCTCAGCAGACACAGCTTCGGGGTACCTTCAGCTGGGGCAGCAGTCACCTTGGGGAGAGAGGAATGCGTGCATTTTGTGCCACCCAGGCTGCGGAATTAATGTGCAGCCCGCATTGCCCCAGACAGGAAGGGACCGTGCTGCACGTTACAGGGCATAGGAGGGGCTGAGGCAGCACCTGTCATAGACGATAAAAGGAGGGAAGAAGAAGGAGGAGGAAAAGGTGGCCACCAGCTTCAGTGTGTGGCCCAGAAACCCAGTGAGTCTGTGCAAAGCCACTGTGTGAATTAAAAGGCATCACACACAGGTCCCATCTGGTCACGGTGTGTATCTGGGTGCGTCACATGATGCTGGTGACAGCAGCAAGTCAGGAACTGGAGTCCTTGCCCCATCTCTGCGTAGACATTGCAGCCATGTTGGGAACCCCCATGGACTTGAGAAGTTCACTAAGTAACCTTCTGAGGCGCTGGAAGCGACATTTTCTCAGGGTGGTGGACTTTCTCTGAGCCCAAGCAGAAGTGCTGTTCAGCGCTCCTTCCCATCTGTGGACCCCAAAACTGTCAGTAAATCCCTTCCTTTCCTTTCCCCTCCCTCCTTCTCTTCCTCCCTCCCTTTCCCTCCCTTCCCTTCCCTTCCCCTTCCTTCCTTCCTTCCTTCCTTCCTTCCTTCCTTCCTTCCTTCCTTCCTTCCTTCCTTTCTTTCTTTCTTCTTTCCTTCTTTGTGCATTTACGGCCCTGGAGATCAACAGCAGGGCCTTGGGCACTGAGGTAAGTGTTCTACCATTGAGCTAAACTCCAGCCCTTCTCTCAAATTTTATTTTATTATTTCTTTGCAGTACAGGGACCTGAACCCAGGGCCTTCATATTGAGCCCAGCCTTCACTACATTGCTAAGTTGTCCAAGCTGGACTTGAACTTGCAGTCCTTCTGCTTCAGCCTCTCAGAGGGCTTGGATGACAGGGGTGTGCCACCACACCCAAATTTCTCTTTTTATTTTGAGACAAGGTCTTACTAAATTGCCCAGGCTGGGCCACTACCTTGCATCCCTCCCACTCCAACCTCCCAAGTAGCTGGGAATGCAGGTGTGTGTGCACAGCCAGAGTGTGAGATATCCTTCTTTGAAGCTTCAGAGCCCTTCCTTTGTGGAGTGGGTTGGAATCTCTACGTGGAGCCACTGGACGATTGTTATTACCCAAATCTTCTGTGAGCTCCTCAGTGTGTGGAGTCAGAACAGGCAAAGGCAAGGAGGTGGCAGGGTCCTCGGAGGCATTTCGAGAACTGCTGGTGGCTAAACCCAGCTCAAGGGTGAATGAGGATTGCTGGAGAAGTACAAAGGGGGCCATGTGAGTCAGCATTGGTGACAAGATACAAAATTCCCTCGGTTTACCAAGGCAGGAAGGCTTTTATCTGCAAACAATTTGGTTCCCAAACAGAAGCTTTGGTCAAACTTTTGCTTTTGTTTGCAAATTCTTCATGTGGTGACAAACATGACTGAGGCCATGTTTCCTAAGTAAACACAAACGTGGCCATTTTTCCAAAATCACAGAACAAATGAAGTTCATGCACTGAGGTGCCACTGTACCTGAGAAAATCAATTTTTTTGGAAAAGTCTGTTTTGGCTCACGGTTTCGGAGGCTTCCATCTGTGGTTGGGTGGCTCCGTGGCTCTGCGCCTGTGGCAAGGCAGGACACTGTGGCAGAGGAAAACTGATCATGTTATGGTGACCCAGCAACAGAAAGAGAGGAGAAAATGGAGAGAGGAAGTGGCCAGAAATCGACAAGGTCTAGTCCTTAAGGTCACAGCCCCATGACATCCCCCTTAATAGGCACCCCCTCCTAATAGCCCACTTGCCTGTGAACCCATCACTGACTTAATCCATGGGAGAGGTCATCACCCTCCTGACCCAGTCACTTCCCAAAGCCCATCAGCTTGCCTTCGGGGGACACTTCAGAACCAAACCGTAACAAGGGCAGGTCCAAAAGGCACTGGAATTGCATAGTGGGAGTAAGAGAACAGTGCAGGGATCTCCAGGTGACTGAGAGTGTCCACCTGACCTGTCCCTTCTGACTCTGGGGAGACCAGATCAGAAGGCAAGAGTCAAGGGCTGCTCCTGTCCACATAGGAAGGTTTCTGAGTAACAACAAACCTCATTGCCTGGCACCCCGTAGTGGGAAGCTGACCCTAAGATTTAGATTATTCCTTGGGTCATTTCCAGAACCAGGGAATCACAGGACTGACTGACACAGATGGACCAGGGGACACCAAACTAGTACCTTAGGTAAGGCCTGTGGGACACAGAGCGGAAGAGACAAGAGGCTAAAAGTCTAACACGGGTATGTGAAGACAGAGCCACCCCACTCCTTCCCAGGGATCCATTTTCACTGTTTCTTTCCTGGACCTCTGGTTCTCAGCCTTTTCCTGAAGAGACTCACAAAGCACATGACCTTCACCAGGAGAAGCCGTGATCTTGATTCACTCAGGGTTATGCACCACTTCCTGGAGCTACCAGGATCTGAATGGAGACAGACATTTGCAGAGGGACGACCACAGATTCCCTTTAATTTACAGAAGAAGTAGCTCTCACCAAATCCCCAGTGTTGTCTCCATCCCTAGAAGTAAGTAGATGTGAGATTGGATACCAGGCAATCCGGATTTCCATTTTGACACTTGTACGTATGGACTGTGTAGCCTTGGGTAAGTTACTTAAGCTCTAGGAGTTTAATTATAGAACTGCTCTCAGGAAAGGTGGTTGTTAGGATTATATCTTATCATGCAAGTGAAATGCTTGGCCCTGTGCCTGCTTCATTGTGAGAACTCAATAGATGATGACTACTTCATTATTATTTTCTTACTTTGTTTTTAGCAGTGTGCCTCCCAGCTGAGAGAGGCAGCCAGTGTGCATTAGCGAGTGGTTGTACATTAGTCTGTCAGAGAAAGAAAAAACATTTTGCATGGCTGACTCCTAATTGATTCACCTTTGTCCCTCAAAGTAGTCACACTGTGTTTTCCTTAAAACATACTGTAATTCAAGATTTAGTCTAATTCACCAGCCTTCCCCTCAGCTCCCATTTGGCAAGACTTTAGCTGGATTGGATGCTGGGTTGTTCCCAATACATTCAAAGTCAAAACTCAGATTTAATTTCCTATGACAGACCTGTCATTCTCAGGATCTGTTGGGTGAAAACCACATTGGTAGAGGGGCAGAAGATGCTGGTCGTGGCTTTTGGGACATTGCCAAGGGAAAACCCAGCCCCTGACTTCAGCAGCCCACACCCCTGGGCTCCATATGGCCTGTGGTATCTGCTGATCACTAGGAGCGGGGACAGGAATACTGTTTTTGGGGCCCCTTCTGACAGTCTCCCCGTCTGAGCCAATGGGAACGCTGCCCACAGTCCCTCCAAGGATTTAATTAGTTAGGTTGTTGGCAGCTCCCCCCAAAGATGAAAAGAGCAAGAGATTCCAAGGCCTAATCTAAGCCACATCATCTCCAACCAAGACCGAGGCCACAGCCCTCTAACTGGTCCCTCTGAGCCCACCCTGACCCTCCCGCACATTGTCTGGATAACAGAGATCTTCTGGAAACCACAGTCCGACGCCATCACCTTCTTGGTCGGGAATAACAAACAGCTTTTCGTGACCCTAAGACCCAGTTCCTTACCCATCCCAGACCTGGGCCCATGTGTCCCAGCCCGGCCTCTTCTGGATCCCTGCCTCTCCCTGTGGTCAGTCGCGCCAGGGCTCGGTCAGACCTCTGGATATGTGGACCCCTGCCCGCAGGAGGGCCAGCCTCTCCGAGTGTTCTTGTCCTCCTCTGCAGTTCTCGTCTCTGCCTCCCACCCTGCTAATCAGCTCCCTGAGGACAAGGACTGAGTCTTCTTTACCTCTTGTGCCCAGTACCTACCATGGAACGTGACTGACACCTAGTAAAGAAACAGTGTGTGTGTGGGAGGGGTGGCGCACACCTGTAATCCCAGCACTTGGGAGGGTAAAACAGGAGGATCCCCTCTAGTTCAAAGCCAGCCTGGGCTACATATAGTGAGTTCAAAGCCAGCCTGAATGACAGTGAGATACTGTCTCAAAAAACAAAACACATACAAAAAAGGAAAAATACACATGCTTAGAAATAGCACTCTTATATTACAGATTGGGAATCTCAAGTGAAGAGCTCTATTTGACTAAGGGAGACAGAGGGGGGTGTTGGTCATTTCATTCATTTGATTGTTATTGACTGAATTATTCAAATAACAAACACAGATCTGCTTATCCCTTTAAAACATTATGTCAGGAGCTACGTTCTTTAATTTCAGTGTTCTCTTCATGTCTCTCAAACTCCTTCTTCCTTCAAAGCTGCTATTCAAAGCTTCTGTGAAGTCGCAGGTCTCTTTGGTGGTGATTATGTCACAAAGAGGGATCTTGTCAAAGTCACAAGGAATGGAGGCAGTCGGGGATTTTACCTGTCACCCTACTGTCATTACACATCTCTCTGGGGATGAGGAGTAGAACAGCACAGGGAGAGGGAGGAGACATTAGAAAACAACTGCTCAGATGTCACCGGCCCACGTTAAAGGCAGAGGTGGAGGGTTTTAGAACTTCCAGGGTGATTTCACTATGCTATCAACAGAACTGTCTCAGCACCCTAGGCAGCAGGGTCCAGATTTGGGTGGCAACTCCCACATATTGGGACCACAATTCTCCTTCAATATTTTGGAAAATTTTAAAAAGCAGTCCCCCAACACAGTGTGAAAAACATGCTATGCAGAAGGTTGCAACCCTGGTCAGACTGTAAGAAAAAGTCATGCCCTCAAGGGATACCCAGACACTAAGGAACACCAAAGCAGACGCAGAGGAGGGGAAGAACATACTTGTGGAGACTGAGATGAGTCACCGACGAGGTCTCCCCTGGAGATGAACCTTGACTGGGGTCTTGAAATGAATTCTTTTGAAATGGAGAGGGACAAGGAGTATTAGGACATTTTAAGGAAGAGGAAGTGCATGAGCCATGGCATTGAGGAGGGCATTCGAAGAACATCACACTCTGCTTATGATGCTGGAATAGGAGGCTGACAGGCTGGTTCTGCCACTCGGCAGCCATGAGAATGATAATGACTCAGGAGAGGACACCCAAGGGTGCTGAGGAGGGGGCGAGCTTAGATATAATTGGCTAGTGAGGTAGTGTCAGCGTATCCACTCCCCAGAGTCTAATGACACCACAACTGTAATAACCCCATGATGGGGAACCCAGCAGGCACCAAGAATAATTGACAGAATTTGCGTCCTGGTCTGAGGTGTTGAGAGGAACACATTGTCACTTCTTTTTTTCCAGTACTGGGGACTGAACCCAGGGTCTTTACACTGAGCTACATCCCAGACCATTTTTTATTTTTTTGTGTTGAGACAGGGCTGGCTGAATTGCCTAGGCTGGTCTCCAACTTGCAATTCTTCTGCCTCAGTCTTCCAGGGTGCTGGATTGTAGCTGAATAGCACTAGACCACTACCCAACACAACACATCACATTTGTGTTATTAATGGTGTAACATGAATCCACTCATGAAGAAACATCAGGCAAGCCAGTTGAAAAACATTCTGCAAAACTAACTGGACTGCATTCTTCAAAAATGTCAATATCATGAAGGACAGGCATTAAGGGACTGTTGCAGTTTTCCAGAAACTAAAGAGATGTAACCAGGCACTCAATGCATGAGCTGGGATTGTCTTTCCCTTGAAAGGACAACACTGGACAGTTGGTGAAATCTGAGTAAGTTCTCTCCGTTCCATAGTAGTATTGAATCAATGTTAATTTCTTGAATGTGATCACTGTACTTTGCTAGTACAGAGAATGCTCTTGTTTTTAGGAAGTTCATGCTGAAATACTTAAAGGACAATCATGTCTCAAACAGTTCAGAAGAAAATATAATACAGATGAGGACACAGATATGATGGAGATGATAGAGAATAGATATAGGATAGATATAGGATGTAGTTACAGGGTACAGAAAACTCTTACAATGCTAACATTTGGGGAAATCTAGATGAAAAGTGAATGGATGCATACGTGGAGCTTCCTTCTATTATTCTTGTAACTTTTTTGAGAGTCTGAAATTATGTCGAAATAAAAAGCGAAAGGAAGTGAAGAGAACCATCAGGTTCCCATCTCTGCTTGGCCTGAGCGAGCACATGTGTTGGTTTGGTCTCTGCGCTCTGGATCTCTTCCTGCCGCCAGCCTTTCTAGGTGGCCTCTGTCATCCTGGGTCCCCCCAGGTAATTTCCAGATGTACACCTTGCCTGCCTCTTCTGGTTCTACTGTTTCTCTCTGACTGTCCCTGAGAGCTGATCTCTTTGGCTCAACACATGCAGGCTTCTGCCTGAGACATTTTGCCAACATCTGCTCGTGTCCCCGAGAGATCAAGATAATTCACACTTACTGATGTCCTACTGTGTGCCAAGCACCAGTGACCTCCCTAGAGAGCATAGTCTGGTCTTACTATCCTATGCACATACATTTCTGTGGCTCCAAAGCCCTACTTTCCTGACTGTACAAAGTTCAGTGCTCTGTGGGTCACTCTCCAGATACGTCTGAGAAAACTCAGGGCTGCCGAGCATTTCCACGTCTTCCACGTACTGCACCTCTGCTGCTCCCAGAGTGGGTACTTGTTGCCTCCATTCTTTGATGGTCTGTGAAAGGAGCCACTCCAAGCTGAGGATTCCAGCTTTGTCTCTATTTCGTGGTTATCATGAGAGCTGAAAATCCTTGTACCTCAACACCAGACACTGGGTACCCTTGAAGAAGAAGCTCCTTCTGTGTAACATTCTATTACAGTAGGTGCAATCAGTTGCTTGAGTTCTATAAAAAAAATTGTTGGCAAAGTGTTGAATTGCTGCATGGGGTGAGATCTCATGTCAGGCATGTATGCAGTGGGGTCACACCTCCCCAGAACACTCAGGCGTTGTTGTGAGCCAATCTCTCCCCACAAAACCATTCCCCTTAGTGCAAGCCTTTCCCAGCCCTCACCGAGTCTTTCTACATACTTGTTTGTATCTGTTGAGACAGAGATCATGGATATAAATGGATTTTGTGGCATTGCCTATTGCCATTGGCTGCAAACCAATGGGACCAGATCCTGTCCATCAGGATACCCTGTTTACAGTATCGGAGGATGGGGGAAGTTACCCATGTGCAGCTCAGTCCTAAGGGATGGGGGCATCAGGATCTGAGCCATAGTCCTGTCTTCTCCGAGGGGCACTGAACCAACCCCTGGGAAAGGGAGGTTTTCCCCTATCACCTGAAGAGGTTTTCCTAGAGTGCCTGGGATTATGGAACTGTCTGGGACAATTGTTCTTGCCGCTGCTACTGCTTCTGATTTCATGCTGGCGTTGGCCGGGAATTTATTTTCCTTTCTTCTTGTATCTCTTGCCTCACTAGCACTTTATTTACCCAAAAGAAGATACCATCAAGGGTGGCACATTTTATTTAGTTCCGGAAAATGTCTGGGGGAGGTGGGAGGGAAGGTTAAAAACGACTGGCAATGTGGTTTTACAGAAAGAACGTGGGCATCAGAATCAGACAGGACTCGGTTCAAATCTGGGTTTGTGACTTACTATTTGAGTAAATGTTCAGAAGTTAAGGTCTCCATTTTGCTCTTTGAGTTAAATGAGGAAACTTAGTTAAAATCAGTTTTAAAGAGGGGCTCAAAGAAATTTAGGGTTCCTGCCCTGCTGGCCTTTTGAGGGTTACAGGAAAAGTTTATCTTTATTTTTCTGTTCATTCCTCTTATGGGCAACCTTTAAGTCAACTCAAAAGCGGGCTTTGTTTCCATGGAGACATGTTTAAGGCAAACAGATCTGAAAAGGGGAAATACAGACGCCCATCCCCTTACACCCACTCGCAACCAACACGCAGCCTCAGCAGAAATGTTTCCAAAGAAATGTTTCACAAAGCTTTCAGGAAAGCCAAGTGCTCTTTCAAAGTCTTGACATGCTTTTTCACCGTACAGCTCTTGAAATGAACAATAATTTGAAACAGATAATAATGAACTTCACACAGCAATGGATCAAAAGTGGAATTATTGAGCTCACCATTGTCTAATGTAATTAGGCTGACACGCTGTTGAATCAAAATGGATGGCTTTTTTTCCCATTCCTTTTCTGCATGTGCACATTTATTTGAAGAAGAGCTTTTAATAGGCAGAATATTACAAGATTTCTGGGCCCCACATGGGTTCAGTTCTACTGAACCGAACAGCTTACTTCTTTTCCCTTCCTTTCCTTCTTTTCCCCCTTCATACCATCATTGTTTTGTAAATTTCAAGGGAGAATTGCTCCTTTGAATGTACATGGAAATATAAGCACATAAATCACAAGCTGAATCTACTTAAGTTCATTAAACTGACTGTCACTTTCCACCAAACAATGCCTTCTTAGGAAAAAATGTTGCAAATCTTTCAGAAGACCAAGTCTGATGCATCCCATCAACCACTTTTAAAAATTCCACAGTATAGTTTCTGCCTTAAATAACTTATTAAACAGAGCAACAATTAGAGAACAGACATTTGTTAATTATACCTGACTTCAGATCTCTCTTGCAGGAATCGTGGTAGAGAACAGACCAGCTCAGCCCTTTATGGGGATGTAAACATTCACTTGAAAGCCCAGTAATAGAGTGGTTTCCTCCACTTCCCCCCGCAATACAAGTGCAACTTCTGATGAGTTGAAATCAGCCCTTGCCTTTGCCAAGACATCTGTCCTCAAGATGTGCATCTAAAGTGATACAGCAGAGACAAATGTCACAAAAGCAGCAATTCATACATTACAGCTAGCAGTGGTAGTCAATCTTGCTGTTGTATCAACCACAGGAAAAAAAGAGAAATCTCATTTAATAAAGCCTTTCTTGGTTGTTTTATTAGTCACTAGAACATGTCTAGAATTTCCCAAAAGCTGCAGTAGAAGAATTAACTTAGCCCTTGTTGCAAAAACTGGGCAGAAGATCTGCACTGCCAGAGTTATACATAGTGCTAAAGAGAAAGATTGGAAGAAGAGTTTTCTCCAAACCAGACTGTCTAGACGCTATTGGGTAGGCAAGCTAAAGCCACCAACCTTAAGGTGAGCTCTGAGCCTTCACTAGCAGACTGCAAGGACCTACGATCAGCATAAAGAGAAAGCCCAGAGCACTGACCACTAACATCTCCAGCTCCATGCATCAATATCAGGGCTAGATCGGAGAACAAAGACAAAATACAAGAGTCTTTCTTTTTGCCTACCAATCTGGTTAAGAAGACTAGGACAGCCACAAACCGTAGAACCACCAAGGCTTGGAGCTGGAAAATTATAGAAGAGGAAACTGCAGTTGGAGGTGCTGAAATGACTCCCCCAAGGTCATAGAGAAACCACACTGCCCTTACCACTTGTGACTTGAATGGAAAGAAAAAAAACAGAGTGAGTACGCTATGTGTCAGCAAATGCTATGCCACATGCAGCTAGATCATTGCCCAACAGAGGAAATGTGGATTCACAGAACTAGTTTCCTACTTTGAACCCTATTTTTCCTGTAATTGGGTAAGGCTGGGGGCAAACTCTGGTCAAATCTTACAAAGATAAAGGGAAGTTCCATGTATACAGATGCATCCATTCTAAGCCCAATGAGGACTTCCTCAACTATGCATGGATCCAGAGTTATATGCAGCTTGCCCAACATCGGAGAGGCATTTTAGCAAATACAGAGAGAGCTTAGGATATAACTGTTTCTCTCAAGGAAACTAAAAAACTATAGGAGATTATTAAAGACCAAGTGTAAAGGTTGTGTGTTGATGATGATCCTGACAGGAGCTCAGAGATGGGAGAAATCACAGGGTATTGGATAAATTCAGTATGGCTGGACTGACCTGAGATCCAAAGAGGCCCTAGAAGGCTGGCCTGGGAAGAGGGGCAGTATGAGAGAGACAAGTTGGGGATGCCTCAGCAGGAAGACAGTTTCTGAAGTAGGGATTAAGGTGGTTCTGGGGAGTTTGGTAGAGTCTCAACTAAGTGGCCTAAAAGTTGGGTTTAAGGACACAATGGAAAATAGCACTGAATCCATAGGGAAAAGTATGAATGACTCACCAAATCATTTGGACAAAATAACACAGAATAGCACACTAGAGTCTAGACCCATTTCCTTGGAAGCTCTGGTCTTTCTGGTGTGTTAAGGAAAATCAAATTTGCAATATTTCAATGTACATTTGCCAGAAACATCAAAATGTCATGGATTCTACTTCAGATTGTGACTAATATCCTGACCTCTATGTGAAATATGTGGCTCCTCTGAGCCCCTTACGGGAATTGACCAGAGTTTAGAATCCATTTCTAGCCCCACAAGGCCTGGATTCAACAACATAAGGTGTTGCCAAAGCTATTAAATGTCCAAGAAGTTCTCCAAATACCTTCATGTACTTTTGAGCATTCCTTCTTTTAGACCTAAAATGTGTTCTTAAAACTTATCAACTCCTCTGTCTGAAGGCCTGCCTGTGACCTTCTTCTTTGTACCTCCGATTTCAGGGTGGGGAGACAGAGGTGCACCGAGGTGCCAACAAATAGTGGAGGTGTCTACCTGGGAGACTTTTCATGCTAAAAATGTGACCTGCCCAAATGCCCTCTCTACACAAAAGCTATTTATAAAAGGTTTGACTTTAAACTTGGAATTACAATGAAATTCAAAGGAGAAAGAAGAAGGTTCCAGACATGATGAAAAATTACAGCTGGATAATTAATTTTAAAATAAGACAT